CTGACCTATCCCCTCCCTAACTCCCCACCTACACTCACCTTTACTGGTTCCATCCCTGCCTCTTTGAACTGTCTGTCTCCTCTCCACCTATCTTCTCCTTTTATCCATCTTCTATCCGCCTCCCACTCTCTCCCTATTTATTTCAGAATCCACTTCCCCTCCCCCATTTCTGAAGAAGGGTCTAGGCCCGAAACGTCAGCTTTCCTGCTCCTATGATGCTGCTTGGCCTGCTGTGTTCATCCAGCTCTACACCTTGTTATCTCAGATTCTCCAGCATCTGCAGTTCCTCCTATCTCTTGATAATATCTCTGATGCTGCTAGATTCACTCAGCACAGAGCAATATACCAGACAGACACGCAGGTTGTTTTAAAAAAATACAGGACAATTTTACAAGTATGTTTTATAGTAGTACATATTTCTGGGTATTGAACAAAGCAATACCAAATACCGGTTAATATATCAGAAAGTCATTTTGGTTATTAGCTATCAGGTACAGTTACTGCCTATTCCCTTGAATATAAGTTTAACTATCAGCTGCATTCTTCTAGATACACTAAAGGCAGGTTAATAAGCACCATGCCAGTGCTCAATATAAATTAAATCATATGATATAACTTCATAAACATTAAAGCTGTAAAACTAACACTGTGCAGCAATCCCAGTTTGAAATAAATATAATTAGCAAACAAAGTATTTGTTTTACAGGATAATATCAAAGACAATTGTAGGGCATCAACAATAAACATTAAAATAACCTGTTTAGCTTTCTGGGAATATTAGATATTAGAAAAGAAATTCTCTTAACAAAACCCTCTCATTGATTTCATGAATGAATATGCATTTTGGATAGATTTAATAATGCATGTAATCAATGGGCAGAAGTTAATAATGTTGCAGGAAAATCAGGGTTTTAAAAAATATGTTTCCAGCTGCCTTTAGGCATGCAGTAATGTAAGTAGAGTGAGTAACAGATATTGAAAAGTATATATGAGTTTATGTAACTTTGGATTGTGGGTAAATTCTTTACTTTTAATTTTAATGTGGATTTTCCAATTTATCTTTTTTTTTTAAATTCATCTAAGTATGTGTTCAGAAAGCAATTAATTAGCACCAAATGATAGCTGCAATGGCAATTCCATAAACATTTTGTGAGGTTGCACATTATGCTCGACATAGTGGCTCAATGGCTAGCACTGATGTCTCACAGTGCTGTGGACCCTGGTTTGATTCCAGTCTTGGGTGACTGTTCTGTGTGGAGTTTGCACTTTCTCCCTGTGCCTACATGGGTTTCTTCCTACAGTCCAAAGACGTACAGCTTAGGTGGATTGGCCATACTAAATGTGGGGTTATGGGGATAGGGGCTGGATGGCATGCTCTTCAGAGGGTTGGTGTAGACTCGGTAGGCCAATTGCATCTTTCCGCACTGTAGGAACTGTATATTTCTCTTTTAACATTTCTGTTCCTTAACTATTTAGGACTTTATGTCGCAATAGGAAGGGCAGATGAGTAGAATTCAGGATTGCCACTTGTCAACTTTTATCACTTGTGATCTGTATATTTCTGTTCATTGATGAATTTGCATCAGCTTAAACTTAAACCATGCCCCATCTAATCTTTAAGATAATAAATTGAGACAATGCAAATGCTAATTCCAATATACAACAGGAGAAAATGTGGCCTATTGAGATTGTGTTAGATCTTTGAAAGATCAGTTCAGTTAGTCCCATCTGTTTGCTGCTCCCATAGCCTGCAAGATGTTAACTTCAAGTATATACATAATTTGTGGACAAATATGCTGTGTGCCTTCCAAATAATGGCCTTACTTGTTAGCTTTGCCCTATTTGTTCGCTGCTTAGCCATTTTGTGGAGGTAGATGAGAATTCCACATGTTATGGTCCCACCTGATATTAATACCAGACAAGTCAGATCCCAGAGTAAAACCTGGCTTAATGGATCACAAATTTTATTTTTGTAATTTGTTTACCATGGTGGCCAATCATTATATTCACAAGAAGCTGCTGTTGTATTTTTAACAGAGGAACCTAAACATTTATTACAAAATAGAAAAAAAAAATGATTTGAAATGGTGGGCTTAACTGTAATTAGTATCTTTTCAGCAAACTGCAATCACAAATTGTGACTTCTTTAATTAATGTCTGTTCCTGAGACATTTAAATAAACTGCTAACACAGCTTACTTATTTCTTCATATGGGTTCCTTAGACTCTCTTTCACAGCCTTCTGCTTCTAGAGCTTTTCTTTTACTAACATTAAGCCACTCGGGATTTCTCTTCTTCTGCCCTGACCTTTTAGGAGACCCCTGAACTGCACTGCCCCTGTGGCAGACATTTTTCTCTCTGAATAACTTCCCTCTCTCTGAAAGAAACCTGCATGGTCTCTGCTCTTCTAAATGGTTCCATCTTAATAAAAGAACATGTTTCTGTCTGTCTCTCTGTGTCATGGAATGCCCTTATTCCTAATCAACAGCATTTTCTTTTCTCCCCACTACCCTGACAAGACATCACTACTCAAATACTGAAAAATGAAACTATAACTACATCTCCCTTTTTGATACTTGCAATATACAAACACAAGTCAAATTTAATGTTTTTCATGGGTTTGTCCATTTTAGAACCTGAGTTTCCAAATAATAATAACATATTACAAAACGTTGTCATATATTCAGGCTCTTCTCTGTTTTAAAACTGTAAATGCAATTTGAGACACTGGGGAAAGTTCTTTTTTGTAGTTAGATTATTTTGTTTGTTGGGGATAATCACTTTTACATACAAGTTGGTGGTATTAGAGCACTTGTGGAACATTTGCAACATTACTGGTGGAGATTTAAGCACATATTTTAAATAGGATTGTGAATGTAAAACTAAAGGGCAGCACGCTGTAACCAGGTAAGATTTAATTGATTGTTAGGTGGTTTTGTTTTGCCAGGCAGCAGTGAAGCAGAAAGAAACCCAATAATGGTGTTAATTC